CCCCCCCCCCCCCCCCCCCCTTCCAACGGGATCAAATGAACACGTGGTGGCTCGGACACCCCATTTAAATAAATATCATGTATTACTTGAAATTTTCTAATATCTGACTCATACCATGAATTTCTGTGTTGAAATCAAATCCATTTTGTTTAGTATATGAGAAAAATGAACATTTTAACATGAAGACAACTAACTTGTCACAGCTTTTAAATAAACATATCCCAGTTTTATTTAGAATTATTTTTGAAAATAACCAGTAACTACAGCACTTACAGTCTGCCTGTTCTCCAGTTCCAGCCTCCTCACTCCATTCAGAATCTTGTGACCCACTGTTCCTGCCACACAGTACCCTGGCATTATTACCTGGAAGACACACAACACAACTGTAGGGGGCAGCACGGGATGGAATACACAGAACACAACTGTAGGGGGCAGCACAAGATGCAATACACACAACTTTAGGGAGCAGAACAAGATGGAACACACAGAACACAATTATAAGGGGCAGCAGTAGTTGGAATATATACATCACAACTGCACTGGCAGCACAAACAAATATTAGATTAAATCATAGTCACATTCATTAGAGAAAGAAAATGGTCGCAATATTTGCATGTCAACAGTCAACTTCAAGTGGACACTTTTAATAAATCAAATTGCACTCACCATGTTATTTTCGCTGGTGCACCATTTCTTGAAGATTTGCAGCGAGAGGCCAGCGTGGAGCATCCCTGGGGTGGCAAACACCACCATGGCACCAGGGTTATCAATATAGGACCTGTCAAAGGCCTGGAATAGAGCAAGAAGGAATGGAAATTCTTCAGTATGAGGTTACGAGGTTACTGCAGCATTATAGTTAACTATGAGTAAATGTGAAGCATATTTTAATTATGTAAGGACAATGATAAAATATTTCAGTTTTTAAACTAATTTATCTCCGATTTAGCTCAAATTTGATTAAAATTATCTAGTTATTTGTCCAATTAAAATTTTATCTAGAGAGTCGAGCAATAAGTATTATGTAAATCCAATGGACATATTCTTTTTGTTTTTCTAGATTAATGAACTTTTTGTTATAATTAGCAATGCTATGTTATTCAGTACCTTTATATGCTTAAACTCAAACATATTTCTCTGCACAAAAGTTTTCCTGATCTTCTGATTGGTCCATGTGATGAAGAGTTTGTAATAATGATTTGCCTGAAATAAAATAATGGCATGAAATATGAATCAAATGAGATATAAGAAGAGTTAATAAAATGCCTTTGTCTATAAAAGGTGAATATACTACACTCCAGTGGCTTATTTACAAGTTATTTACACAGTTTAACTTGACTTTCTTGGCAAGTTTTACAAAGTATCTACATGTAAGAGAGAGAGAGAAGTGAGACATTAACTCACCTTTTCTGTTAACCCTAAAGAGAAATAGATGGGGACTTTGAGGTTCATTCTGTCCCAGTAAGTTTCTAGCAGAATGCAGAGTTCTTGTGCTCTGCCCAAGGCAAACACTGGGATCAGCACCTGGGTAATCAATAAATCTTTAAAAACTCAAACAACAAGGGTAGCAATTTTCTTCCAAAAATACTACTTTTTAACTTGGTTATTTTGGCAATGTAATAATGTTTTACTTTTTACCTCCAGATACAGACTAGAAGTATTGGTCTATAATGGTGTATTATTACTTATTTTAAATCATTCTTTAAATTCTATTAACACTACAGA